ATTCTTAGGCTTGCACAGTTATAAATCCTCTTTTTCCTTTGGCAGCACTAGCCATAACAAATTGACATAATATCTGAAAGTTTTTGTCTTTCTTCCTCCTGTGGTCCTTGCTGTAAAGGGATTGTCTTTGGTACAGAAAAGCCATGGCTGTCATTTCTCCTTGATGGCTGATTTCAATTTCTCTACATATTTACGTATGAAAATAAAGAACTGAACAATTTGGCTGCCCATATCAGGAAACTAAAAACTGCTACAGCCATTCACATTTATACTCCAACGGGGACCCAAAGTGGCTTATATCACTCTCCTCTCCTCCACTTTATTTTCATAACAACCCTGTGAAGTTTTCACAGGCTGTTGTGAGTTTGCATGTCTGCATACAAAAGCACATTGTATAATACAAAAATATTGGGGAAACACCAAGTTACTTTAAAGATTTTTCTGCTCCGGCATATCTGTATGTTTCAATTTTACCCTATGGGTAAGATGCAGGTAGCTGTTCATACCATACAAAGATAGCCAATGGTTGCCCGAAGTGGAAATCTTCACATCCATTCTTTGTTACTGGACACAATACATTTCAATCAATACAAATGAGAAGTGTTATTGCACAAGGGAGACTGACAAGGTAACTCTTCCTGGCAAGGTTTTATACCCAGATCATATTGAGTTTACCACAGTACACCTATTTTGATATATTTAACCTATAGCCAGTCAGTAAATATTTATTATGGTCAAAAACCAACATAAGATCACAGCATCTCTTAAAACCATTTAATATTCATCATAAACTCGGAGCTCAAAAAATCTGTTATAATAATTCAAAACATTTGTTTTCTAATTGCTACAGTACAAAATTTTGCTACCGCGTAAGTTACAGGTTTCTGTGTATCTTCTAAGAGATATTTCCAGAATACTTCAGACCTAAAGTTCATATAATACTTCAGTAGTATGACCTGAGAGAGGAGTGGAATAATTAACTGCAGTCTTTCTTCTTGATAAAATTCACAATGCAGGAGAATATGTGTAACAGATTCAATCACTTTTCCAGAATAGCGACAATATCGCTTCTGCAGGTTGATCTCATATTGGCCTATGACTTTAAGCCCTCCCCCATATCTAAGATTCCCACTGGAAAATTCTATCTTGACAAAGAATCTTCTGAAAAAGAAAGGTTTTATAATATCAGGGTTTTATAATATCAGGGTGAGCATCAAACATCAGGCATTCTATGGAGATGCCTTCTGTGATAACCAAGAGAGCCAGCTTGGTGTAGTGGTTAAGAGTGACAGACTCTAATCTGGAGAACTGGGTTTGATTTCCCACTCCTCCACATGAAGCCAACTGGGTGACCTTGGGCCAGTCACAGTTCTTTCAGAACTCTCTCAGCCCCACCTACCTCACAGGGTGTCTGTTGTGTGGGGAGAAAAAGGGAAGGTGATTGTAAGCCATTCTGAGATGCCTTTGGGTAGTGAAAAGCAGGGTATAAAAACCAACTCTTCTTCTTGTAACTAGGACTGGGTCAGCAAATTAATATCAGAGAAGTACCACTGACACTTTTCAAAACTGCCTTTGTATTACCACTAAAAATAGCCATCAGTTGAAATGTTCATGACTAGTATAATACTGCAGTCTATACATGCCTATGATCTATAATACTACTGGCCTTGTGTTTTAAAAAGTTGGCAGGGACAGGTGGACCTGTTTCCCAGCAAGATTTCTGATTGGATGTGCAGATTCTTTTAAAAAATTGCTGTGGCAGCAATTGCCATGACAGAACCAGGATTTTCACTGTGTGACTGAAGGCAAACTGTGGCAGTTATTCTGTGGCAGGTTCCACTTCCTGTGGCAGCCATTTTGTGGATGCACCCACCACGCTGTGTCAGAATTCCAAAAGTGCCCACAGTCTCAAAAAAAGATTGGGGACCCTGCTCTATCACCTTCTCTAGAAATTGGAGGCTGCCTGTAATTGGCCACCTCATCCCTAGCCAATGAAGGTTTTTTTGTGCAGAGGTCAAATAACTGCATACTTCAAAAAACTAGGGAGAGCCCCCTCAATCAGGGAGGAGTTGATGACTTTCACAAATGGCTCCAATACCTCTTCCCAACAAGATTTTAGAAGCCATGATGAGTATGGGTTCAGAGCACGTGGTGACTTTTCACACTTCCAAGAACCCTGTCAGAATCCATAGTCAGGATGAATCTGAAACTATCTATAACAAAAGGACAAGCAGGCACTTCTGGTACCTCAGGTACCAGATATGCCCCCAGCTTGGCCTCCAAGTCAGAATGGATGAGAGAGATTTTGTCAGCAAAGAACCTTGCAAAAACATCACAGCTGAAGGCCAAATTTTCATAGCCCACAGGATCACACTTAGGTGTTATCAAGACATGAGCCACTCTGAACAATTGAGCTGGATGAGATTCTGCAGACGCAATGGTGGCAGAGAAGAAATTCTTCTTTGCTGCCATCACTGCCATCTCACAGGTCTGCAAATGGTCTTTATGACATACTCTGTCTAATTCATACCAAGTTTTCCACCAACGTTGCTCTGGCCATCTTCCAGTCTGCTTCATATTGCCTGGCTCCCAGGTAAACCAAGGAGTTGGGGTCCTCAAAGAATATGGAAGACAACGTCAAGGAGCAACTTTGTTTATAGCCCCAGTCAGCCCAACATTCCATGCAGCTACAATGAGCACAGCTGATGCATGGGAGCATACCAGGAGACATGATTTAATAAGTATGAGGGCCCTAGGCCATGAAGGGTTTTAAAGGTAATAAACAACACTTTAAATTGGACCCAAAAGCAAATTGGTAACCAGTGCAGTTGACACAGTACCAGAGTTAAACATACCCATATTTAGGATGACACTGTATGAGAAACTGAAGAAGAAAGAAACCAGCAGTATCCAAAACTGCAAAGGGTCTTTCTTTATCCAGTTAAAAGTACATGCACTGCTCAATTACGGCATTCTTCTTCTTCCCTCCTATTTCAGGCATCAATGAATCATGCATGGCTTACATGCCTGAAGACACAACATCTGCAATACTTTGTTATTTCAGCAATTATTAGCCACAATTGGCCTGACAAAAACAGAGGTGCAAATGTCAGCAACAATGATGCTATCATGCATGCTCCATTAGCACTTTATTAGGTAGATAATGTGAAGGGAAATCTGCCAAAACCCAAATTAATATTCCAAACTGTTGTGAGCAAGCTCACTTCCTTTAGGCATTCAAAAGTCCTGCTAAGCGTATTTAGTTATTTTCCTATTTTCCATTATAAATAGAGAAAACAATTTAAAAGACTATCAATTATTAACAACATACCCCACTGGAATTTGTAACAACTTCATTGTAATTCAAAGTGGTAGCTAATAATGTGACCTGCATCCAGACCCCAACTAGTGATTTTTTTCCTACAGTAAAAACCACACACACACACACACCATTTTAATGAACAACAAACCCTGTCCTATTACATTTCCAAACAATTACATAGCTGGCTAATCTAGAAATATTCATTTTTTCTAAACATGTCTGTAATAGTTCAAAATTATCCACAATTTCCTATCTAATTACAGTTTTGCAGAGATGCCATGTGTGACAGACTGCACTTTTAAAAGCTTAGAAATGCTGTATAAACAGAAAAAGAACTGTGAAGGGTTAATTCTTCACAGAGCCAGAGAGCCTTGAGTGACAGGTTGTTCCAAGAGATCTGATTGGTTAGCATCAGCTGAGCAGAGAAGGACTTCTGAACTGGATGCTGAGGAGATTCAGTCTGATTTCAGCCCTAGCTGAGAAGAGTTGAGTACTGATGGTTTCAGAATTCAGCCCTGACTGAGAGCAATTTAACAGAGTCAGGAGAACTGGGGGAAAGTTGGCAAGGATGAGTGGGTAGTTAGATGGCAACTCCCTTTTGGGCCAAAGAAAGGGGATAGATCTTCTAGAGAGAAAAGGGATTTCTCTACCCAGTGTAAACAGGGAGTTAGCTCTGAAGAGTGCAGAGATCCCTGGTCTGGTGTGGTTAGAAACTGCCTTTAGAGACCTTAAGAGTTAAATACTCAAGACAAGTACTGGTGTTTCAAGAGAAGGGGTTTGGGTACTGAAAAGAGCGTAACAGCCTTCTGGAAACCACAAGAGTCAGAGAATGAGCAAAGAAAGTGTACTAGGCTGCAATCACATACAATAAATAGTTCACTTTCAATCCACTTTCAATGCACTTTCCAACTGGATTTTGCCAGTTCACACAGTAAAATCCAGTTGGAAAGTGGATTGAAAGTGAATTATTTAGTGTGTGGCCCTGCGCTGACAGCTTGCTCTGGAGAATCCGAGGAGTCAAGCCTTAATGTGTGCAGATCTACCTCTCTTCCTGTCTCATCCCTTAGAGCTGATAAGCTGCAAGATCACTTAGATGCTCCCAAGCATCTCAACCTGAGAATGTGCTCCACTTTAGGGAAATCCCTACAACACCTCTGATAAGATTATCTTGAGTGTCATGCCATGGCATTTCTGTAAAAAGATATTTTTGCCTAAAGTAACAGGAGCAGCATATAAGACAGTCTCTGCTGATTTGTTGCAGGTTATAGAATTCCTTTGTCACCATAGTTTGTACTTCCGGTTATAAGATGATACCAAACACCCACATCATATACCAGTTTTTTCCACTTTAACAGTCATGGGTTTCCCCCAAATAATCCTTGCATTGTTTTTTGGTGCAGGTGCTGAGAACTATCTGATAGAGATCCCAAGCCCCACTCTCAGTTTGACAGTTCCCTGGGAAAAAAGACTGTATGACTGTAGTGGAGACATGCCCCAAGAACTTGATATACTGCTCACATTGCCAACACTTTCTGTTCCAATATTTCTTCACCTATGCAACAGACAGGCCCCATCCTGTCACTCCCATGAGCTCCGCAGCCAAAGTGTGAGGTAATATGGCTGCCAAACTACCCAGTTCAGCTGATCACTGCTTAAATAGTAAGTAAAGACACAATACCTTGATAAGCTCTTTCGGCTCGCTTCCTTCATCCACAACAATCAACTGGGCTCTTCCATTCCGTTCATTGTCTCGAATGCCCACAGCGACCTGAGTAGCTTTCAGGCGCTCATATTTATTGCATGTAGAGCCACACCACTGGTAGATCTCCTGGAACAAAATACACATCTCTTTAGTCAGCAGAATTAATACATCATAATGATGGCAGCATCTCTGCACAGGACAGGAACTGCTCTGAAGTCTGGCAAACAGGGGTCTGACCATACAATGATGGCAGCATCGCTGCACAATTTCACTGAGTGTGTAGAAATGAATGGAATAAGGATTTAGATCACCCTATTTAACCAAAGCAATGGGATACAGCCCGACGTCTATACCTACTCTCTCTATGGATCTTAAGTTGAGACTTATTCAGCAAAAAAATATGTTTAGGATATACTGGACACTAGGGATGGCCACGAACCTAAAAATTCCAAACCCCAAACTGAGGCTACAATGCCCCAAATCGAACTGGTCAGTTTGGATCCACCTTTCTCCCAGTCACGGCAAGGAGAAAGGGGGGATTGCCCGGAAAGGGTTAGATGGGGGGCTTCAAACCAGGCCAAGTTTGTGCCAAATTTGGGCTTGTGAACCAGTTCATGCCCATTCCTACTGTTACCGCAGCAACTAAATCGGAGGACTGAGTAAAGTGTCTAATTGTTGGCACTGTAACTTACAGGACACGTACCTTGAACAGATGCTTTGGGCGTGTCAAGTAATTTGGTTTTTCTGGGAAGAAATTATTATTCATATCACTTTTGTATTAGAATGTTCACTGATTTTTGAAGATTCTTATGTACTTTTAAACTACCTTGGAGGCTAACTGATGGTCAACAGAAATGGACCCTCCATGCCCTTACTACAGCTAAAAGATTCATATTACTACACTGGAAAGATAAAAGCCCACCGGTAAATCAATGGATCGAGGACCTATCTCTATCAGCATTTGAACACATGGCACATAGATGGCAATATGGACTGGTAACAGTTTTCATAATAATGTGCAGAAAATTCTTGGGTCTTAGTTGAAGCAGAAGTTATTAAAAGAAACAGATTTTTCTTCATCCCTCTACAGAAATAACTCAAGAATGTTACTATTCTCCAAGGAGTTTTTAAATTTTACTTTTGTATTTATGGCAGGTTGGGATTAGTAAAAGTAATCTGTCTGATTTCAGAACTGGAGCCAGGTATTCCAACCCAATGATTTAATTTTGTTTAAGTGCAGTAATACATATAGTGAATACAGTGACTTTTTATAAACCTTTAAGGTGTACCTGAAATGCAAAAGCTTCCCCATTTATTCCAATGGATAGAGGAGAGTGAACATAATTTGCTTTCATGTGTGGATTTGCTCCCTTTACTAGAATGAATGGAGCATCCCATGCCCAGAATCTCTGGATTATGTTGTATGCCCACTTCTTAAATCACTTTTGAACTAATATTTTATTCTTCCTTCTAATCATTTCACCCATCATTGAATTAAGCTGATCAAAAAAGTAAACTCCACTGAATAAAATGTGATTTCTCAGTAGATCTGTTTAGGAGAAAGTTGTGGTATATGAACACTTAAAGAGAACTCATGGCAAAGAACAGCCATGAGGATGACAAACAAAACTCTGGATTGGATCAAAATATTCCTTTCCACCTTCCACCAGCTTTCTTCCAGCTGAAGCAGACTTCCTCCCTTGAGTATGTTCTTCTTATATCAGAGGGAGGCTTTCTCCAACAGAGGAAGATTCTCAGTTAGGAGAAGTGAAACTTTGGATCCAACCCATTGTTTGGAAAACTGTCTCAAGTTAGGCAAATCAAAAAAAACCCGCAGTTCAAAATCTGGGAAAAAATGAATTCCCTGTTTGTGTATATTAAGGAATAATGTTCACCAGCTCTTCACTGGATCCAAAGAATCACAAATGGTGTTCCATGCATGTACTGGGACTTTCCTTCCCATTGCAGCTCCATGCGCCCCCTCCCAAGTAGTGGCTGGGCATCAGGAAAACCTCCAGAACAGCAACCAATGTAGTGGGGGCTGCAGCCAAGAAGGAATCAGCAAAAATCAGTAAGTACCACCCCAGTGCCCAAGCAGAAGTGCACTGAGCACTAGGAATCTAAGCCAATATTTATCACAAATCTGCATGTGAATAAAATGGTGAAAAAGAAATATCTATGAAACAGTACATAAACACATTCATCCTAGCCCACTGCTCTCAATCCCTGCGCAAGTCAACTGAACCTAATTTACAAATGCCTGCTGTGGAGGTGCAGGCAAGCCACAGCCAGCAACAAGGTAACGCCTATGCATCCCTATGCCTAATCTCACAGACACGGCATTGTCTTAAATATTAAATCCATGGGATTGGCAACTGTACAGCTTTTTGCTGCTGCAGTGGTTTTCAAAATCAACAGACAGACAAAGCTGATAGCGGCTTTGAAAGTGTATGAAAAAATACATTTTATAATATATATTTTTCTCCCTAAATCCCGAGTGACAGAAGGTTCTGGGGCAGCTTTGCAGGGTGAGTTTCCTTGTGCAGATAAGACAGTGTAGATCTGCAATAGTTTTCAAATATCTGCTTACTTGCAAATACACAGGTGAAACAAACCCGAGTCACGAAAAGAAGAAGATGAACTAAGCTATGGCAAATAAAAAAGAACACACAGGACTAGGAAAGGCTTTGGAAATGTTTTTCAAATAAAAGAAGTGAAGTGATCTTGAGACTGATTGTTTTTCAAAATTATTACCCCTGATTGCATCATTATTTCAAGATTACAAATATGCCCAGGGATATTTATTATGCATCATATGTATTGTCTAGACAAACTGCATATTTTATTCAGTATTTTTCCATTACCATTTTAGAACGTGGAAAATCTTATTCATTGGTTACCATTGGTGCTTATGCTCTGAATGTCTAGATTAAGAAAAGAGATTAATTTTAAGATTACTTCTACAGTAAATCATGGTAGCTTCAGCCATACTGACTTGTGTCCTATACTAATAAAAGTGTTTTGTGTATTAGATTGACAGTGCCATCCTAAACAGAATAACACCTCTCTAAATCCATTGAAGTCAATTGACTCAGAAGGGTGTCACTCTGATAGCACTGATAATACCAGAATGTAGTCAATAATTAATTGCCTTTGCCAAGGAGAAGAGAACTGGAGAAATCTGGTCTGATTTCTTAGAGATCTTTGGCCAAATGTCAGCTGGCATTTGCTACTTTCTACTGCTGCATATCTCAGCTTCATATCTTTCCTGTTTAGCTTGTTTATATGCTCTTCATAACTGTTGCTTGTGGTTCATAATGTCTGCAGCTCACTTCTGACTTTTCCGCTTGCTTTTCTTATTTCATTCTGCTTTAGAGCATTCCTTCCCAAGCCACTGAGCTAACAGTTTAGCATCTTTATGGAAGTGTTGGATCAGACTTGCAAATATTTGTTGTTATGGAATTCATAAGATCAGTTGTATGTAAGTGTGATGTTCCTTTTTGCAGTCTCTGTCAAACAGTATTATGAATGGATATTTGAGATCATACCTATGCCTCAGTACTTTTCATTAAAAATTCAAATTTTAAAAAGTCTCTTCTCGTATCCAGAATGCATAGCAAGATAAAGAAACCAAAAAACCTGAGAAGCATTTTTAACAGACCAGCATTCTTCATTCTGGAGAGAATTTAGGAAATGTGCATTAAACGGTAAATAATAATAACAATAATATGAGTAGTTTTTAATCTCATGATACTGGTGGGCTGTTAGAGAATAAGCCTGATATTTGCTTTATGGACTGTTTATTGCTACACACAATGAACTGTGCACACACACTTAGGCTCAGAAAGCTGTACACTTTAGGTCACCTGTTGTGATGCCACACATAGAGGGTGCCTGCACATACCTTACATGTAAATAAGGTTTCAGCTGCACAGTTACCCAGCCTGGTGAAGAAGCACAAACCTCCATTATTGTGAGCAATGAAACAACAACTCTAGGAAGAAACAGCTCCCATGACAAAGCTGCTTGTAGTTCCTGAGCTGGAATTTCCTGCCATATGGACATTTGGTTATCAATGGAATGGCCAGCTTCATCAGCACTACAATGAAGCATCCTGATGCCTAGGTTTCACACCTGTCCAGATGCCATACTCTGAGTAAGGTTTTAGGTTACAATATTGGCCACCCCTCTTAGGTAACCTCCCCTTCTCACATGCAACCAATAGGATTCTTTTTGGGATGGACTAACAGGTAGGTGGGTCAAGAGGTTGGCACAGTTACCACCCATCTCTTGGACCCCCTATAAAAGGAGAGAACCAGTCACCTGACTCCTCCTAGCTAGCATTCCCCCCAAGACGACCCCGGTCTGCTTTTATTCCTCTTGAGTCCCACTTGCTATCCCCAACCCTTGCCTCTACTACCCACACGTTCTGGCTGGTTCTGGTCATGTGTGAATTCCCTTTGTTTTCCATTTCTTCCCCTCCATTCTTCATTGGAACAACCAAGCTGCAATACAGATAAGTATCGCCCACCATCATCCCTACCTACTAATGCAACTGTGCTTATTTCCTACTGTAATTATTAGAAACTTGATTGAATGTGTGAGTGCATCAGTATTGTTTGTATGAGATATATTTTTAAGTAAAAGACATCTATTTTAACCACAACAGCCTCGAATCCTTTACTGGTAACCCTTGGTGGGATCAGGACCTTGGTATAAATTGGCAAGAACCCATTTATAAATTGCCAATTGCTGTAAATAAAGCAATTCGGCTAACAGGGCATGCCTTAGGTATGAGCAAATTAAATACAAACCAGGGGGATTCTAGGAGGCCATCCGTGCTGTTATTAAAGAATCCCAGGTTCAGTTGGAGCCAGGTTATCCTTTACTATTAATAAATACAATTAAAACATACTCTAGTTTAACCAGTTCAGGTGCTCAAAATAACTCAGTATTATGATCCATCCTCTTCAAGAATTAATCCACTAATGAAAAATAGTTCTCTTTGCACAATGAAAACTTTGTCTTCAGCCAGTGTCCTCTCCTGCCTAAACACGAATCAAACTAACTTTCTGTAAAAAATTTATGGCATACAAAAACAGGAAGGGGGAAGAGTACAATGAAGGTCAAAAACAAATGATTTTCCATCTTTTCATGAACTGAGCATCTGTGTATAAAGGGCTCTGTTCTCAGCCTACATGTATCAAGCGTTCCATCCATGCGATCGATGGGGCTCTCCCAAATAAATCAAACCTCCAAGCCTAGGCATGTTGGGACCACAACCAGTCAACCACATGAATTCCTCCAGATAGCCCTGCTTGGAAATTGAAGTAATGGAAAAGCTATAACAGAAGAGTCAAAGGGCTGAAAGAAGCACAGTTCCTATGCTCACTGCCAGATGCCAGGTTTCAGAGCAATGAAACCCTAAAGGTACATATGGTGCTTCCTGTATAAAAGGAGAACCCACACCTATATGTACACCCATAAAGCATCAATAGCAGTTTAGACTTTTGATTTAAATTCCAGCAAATAGGGGAAACACAAGGAACTCGTGGGGGAGATGAAATTGCAGCCCCTCAATTCCTCCCCTCCAGAGCTGCATGGGACGGATGTGTTCAGGATTAGATATTTGATGGGGCTACCAGAATTACAGAACATGTGTGTATAAATAGGACAGCTATTAATGTGATCCAATCCATGGCCTAAACACAATTCTTGTAGTTTTTATATGCTAAAACCTAAGAATCTCACATTCTAAACTTTCAG